TTATTCTTCATTTTGTATTTTATATTATGCTTAACAGAGAGGTGATGATAGTACAAAATACAACTATTAAAAACTGATGAAAAATAAAAATTAGAAAACTTTCAAAAATGTTTTGTGGAAAACAAAAAAAAAACAAAAAAAAAAAAGAAAACATTGAAAATCGATTACGCAATAGCAATAAATTTTCGACTGGAAAATTAAAAATGGAAACTTTATATCGGTTTTTTTGAGATTAAAACTATATAAACAGAAGTAGAACTAAAATAAATAAAAAACAAAAACAAAAAAAACTTATAAAATAAATTTTGTCTTGTTATGGGTCTTTTAGAAAAATAGCAGTAATTATTTTATCAACCCCCCGGCCCACACCATTCTTTGAAAGACTTTAGCAAGAGAGTCGAAATAAGATAATTTTAATTTTATCTCTGCCTCCTTCTCTTTGATTTTCATCAATGATAGTAAAAAGTAATTCAAAGTTTTTCGATATATTTTTAAATTTTACTTATAACTATAAAACGGGTATATAAGCCGGAATATATTAAATACTAATGCATCTATAACATAAAAAAAGTGTAAAAAATAATTTTGAAAAAAAAAAAAATTAAAAATAAATATTAACAATTTTAAGAATTAAAAAACTAAAAATTCACCAGTTGGTGTTCAAAGATTTTTCATTGTTTTTTACTGAAAAAAAAAAAATGAATCAAATTTTTCTCATTAAAAAATATTTGTAAAGTTTTTTGAATAATAAACGAGAGTTTGTACTACTTTCGTTTTATGTTCATTTTTAAGAGCTCATACCGTTTTAGAATTGCAAAATATTTAATTACAAATTGTTAATGTTTGCAAAATGACCGAATTTTATGTGTGGGATCGAATTATTGCCATATTGAAGGAAATTATATCTGTAGGACCGAATTATGTTCATAAAACCGAATAATAATAATAGCATTATCATAGTTTTATACTCAAAGGACCGAAATATATCAAGAGAACTGAATTATATTTATAGAATCATTATATATCCACAATTTTAAATGCTTGGGGCCGGGTCTCACAAGTTGCTTGAACTCATCAGGACATCTACAAATACTAAATTTTAAATAACATAAAAATTATGTTCAATTTAAAACATTATGGTCTATTATAAGAAAATGAAAAGAAATCATAAACTTCATTAGTAGTTTATTCGAAAACTGCATCCACTTCCATTTACTAGATAATGTGAATTTGTTTCCAAAGTATAGTAATAATTAAAGTCAAAAACAGCTTTTTAATCTACTGAAATCTTAGAATAATAAAATTTTTATAAGTGCATGGTGCAACCATTTCTTTATATTTCTTTAATTTTAAATATGACTCCCCTTAATAGTTTTTTTCGAACAACTCACCTTGAAAGCAATTTCCAAGAAATGGAAAGGCTCTTTAAAATATTCACATATTACGCAACAGAAATTATTATTCTTCACGCTTTTCATTTTAGTGACAAAGAAAAACTAATTTTTCTTTCATTTTTATTTTTTGTTTTTTTCTATACTTTCTTCTGCTTTTCCACACATATATTAGATCCAAAAGATTGATACTATGAATGAATGCACATCACTTTTTCGCGCATAATTGAATTTAAAATCAAAATGCATCGCTACATCACAACACATTGAATCCAAAAAAACATTCTTTCACTTATTTCAATTTTAAGCACATATCTTCCAATTACAAAAAAAAAAACAAACCTCCGTTTAAATTTCATTTTATATAGCTAAATGAATTAAAGTTGTAAAAGAGGAAACTAAACTTCAAACAGAAAGCAAAAAAAAAAATTAATCACACTATGAAAAGCGGAAACAAAATTAATTCATTCCTATTCCAAATGCATCTGAAAATGCACAGAAACTTTTTTTTTTGTGTGAGACTAAAAAGTGTCCATATAGATATACACAATGAAAATGAAATGTGTATATCTACACAAACAACAACAATATACATATATGAGTGTACAACTACAATACAACATACAATTTTTATGGCTATGTAAAAGTAAAAACATATAAGAGATAAGATAATAAATCGCATTACGTAAAGCAATTAAATGCAATGCAGTGCATTTTTAAATTCAAACACAAAAAAAAAATGCATCTCACTATAAACGATTTTTCTTTTAGAGTATATTCAAGTGCATAGAATTATTATCATATTATGAGTGTATACGCAACGAAAATCAACAAACAAAAATGGTCATAGCAATCCTATATAAAATCTCTAAAAATTTTTACATATACTAAAGATGATATCAAAAAATGTAAGAAATTAAACCAGAAATGTACAGATTTTAAACAAAATTTTCCTCGCATAACTGGTTTAAATTTTTCCTTTCGCTCTCTTCTGTTATGTTATTTTTATTTCGTTTTTCTACAGACATACATACGTATGTGCATATAGAGGAACGCATAAACAAAACTGAAAATATTAAAATGATATGTGGGTATTACATGGTGTCTATGGAGATAAACACTGTTTAAATTTTCAACCAAAAATTAAGTAAAATTTTGAGCAAAATTAGTGGATATTGCTTTTGAAGAATATAGGACTTTGTATTATTTATCTCAAATATAACAAAATCGTATTATGTGTATCCAACACTTCGAAACACAAAAAAATATTGAATAAATTGAAATAGCGGGACCTGAATTTAATACTTTATGAATGACCGATCTTTACGGGATATGGCGGCCAAACTGAAAGAACGCATAAGGATCCAATGATTTTAATGATTTAGGAGACCAAAGAAACTAACACCTACTCTTTCTTTTCAAATGCAGAATCACACACATCAATGAATCACACTGTAACCGAATATAAAAAATTACAATTTATTAGTCATTTATAAATTTTTAAAATCACTTACAATTCAATGTTATAAAAAAAAAAAGATACTCCCGATTTTGGCTGTGAAAAACCAGAAACAAATTTTTTACTGTCCATTACTCCTTTTACTTAATTATGTTAAAAATAAATATAAAAAAGTTTTGTATACTTTCGCCTTCAATCGAACGTTAAATGAATTTTTTATATTCGAAATGAAAGTGAAATTTTATTTTTGAAAATTTTGTTTTAGGCATTACATAGGATAGGTGAAAAAAATGGCTTAAAAAAAATAAGAATTTAAAAGACAACAAAAAAAAAATTTAAACCAGTTTTGTCCAAATACCTGTCCTATAAAAATGGTGAATACTGTAATAAGCATTTTCAATTTCAAAGTTAATATGCTTTTGAACTGGATTTTTACAATAATTTTTATATTGTTTGTGAATAAATTTTTGAATTTATTAAAAATATTAGAAATTATATGTACACATTTAATGAAATTCAATGTAGCATTGACCTATAGATTAATGTAAAGGTTTTTCATTACAATTTTTAAAGGTAAGATCAAGCAGAAGCTTTTAATTCGAAATGTAGTTTTCATTTTGAAGTACAAGAATCTTTAGTAAAAAAATAGAGGTCGTCATACTAAGTATGGCATTGAAATTTTGTAAACATGTTGAATACCTAATGGACATGTTGGATAATACAAGGAATACATCTGTTTTTAAATCCAATTGATTAAAGTAATATTTCAGTTTCGTTTATAATTTTTATAACAAATATGTAATAGATACCGCTTTCGGATACTGTTTCTAAAAAATAGTGGAAAACGAGAATAGTTGATAGTGTCAACGTTATGGTACCCGTATACAAATGAGGTATTTTAAGCACTATATGTTAATTGCCACACTGTTTTACACATACTCCTGGTTTTTTATATGTATAGTGCTTTAACACATATATCACAGATACCACACTCACTTATCAATATTTCAAAAAAATTTTATTGAAAATAATAATACTACATTCATTTATGCAAAATTTCAGCACTGCGATTTTAGTAGTTTCCATAATATGCGACCAAATGATATTCGAAATTGTATGGCAGCTATCACAAGGAGCCAAGAAATTTCAACGAATTTTATCACAAATAGAAGCCCTAATAATATATTTCTTTGCGCGAAATTTCAAAATTATTGTTTCAATAATTTCTGAGATATACCCAAATAGTTTTTTAAATTGTAGGACGGCTACCAGAACACCTGCTTCGGACACATTCAATTTAAATAGGGTTCTGGCAAATTTCGTGAGCTTAATCCAATTAGTTTTCGAGTAATCACTGGGATGGACGCACAGACAGATGGATAGACATGGTTAAAAAATTCAGATATCTCAGATTATTATTTCTTGGTGTTACAAACGGTAAGGCAAATTTAGTATACCCTTTGAACATACGTTCGTACGAGTATATTTACCGTAAATATTCAATAATATTTATCCAATAGAATTCAGTAGAATGATTTCAAGATTTTATCCAATTCTAAATTACCTAGACAAGTACCTACTCGTAATCTGGAGAACTGTTAATATAGGTATTTTATTTTCCACAATAAGTCTAATTTTTATGATGATGGGTGTGTAATTCTGATACCAAATCAATTCAAGCAAAGTTATGTCATTCTTAAAGGATACACAATATATTCGTTTAATTATAAGAAAAAGCATTCGATCAACAATCTAGACTATTTAATCAATAATTCAAATTATTTGATTAATAATTTATAAACGAAACAGAAATTTGCATTAACATTTTCAGCCATATTTAAATTAAAAAGTACGAAAAAAGCAATGACTTCAACAAAATTTTCATTTATTTTCATTTTCAATAATCAGTTGTCTCTGAATGTTTCGTCCAAAAATTGTTTAAATATTATTAAATGATTTTCAAATGAATGAAATTAAATTTCACTTCAAAAACAATTTGTCATACACCTTTCCTATATACTTTTTTTTTTTGTTTTTAATTTAACCACAAAATAGTCTACGTTTTTATTAATTTATTTTTGTAATTAATTTATTTGATATTTGTACATATTATTTTTAAAATGATTTTTTCTTATTTTATATTTTTTCAGATTTCAATTTTTACACCATTACTCTTCTCAATTATTTTAACTTTAGAAGTTGATGGGGAGACAAATACATATTTTAATGATGAAATAAATGAACCACCACCACAAATGGAAACGTTTAATAATTACGAGGTATGTGAAATAAATTTTACTTAACAATAAAATGAATACTGGCCGCACAAATAAAACGTATTATGCTTACTTCTTAACATTTCAAATTATTGAACTTTCACATACATTATTTTTAACACTAGTGTTTCAAATTCAAATAATTTTTCCTACATTTACATAATGATATTTGTAGATCATCTTCAGATATGCTCAATACTTTTCAATTACTGGCCATCAAACCAGTAGACCGTTAAATTCTAAAATATCCATTCCTAAACCGATTCTTTGTTGTAATATAACTCACAATCCCAATACAAAAACGTGCAGTTCGAAATAAATTGAATTTGAACTTCGTCCGGAGATACATACAAAAAGAGCTGCGCATCACGGTTTAAAAGAAATCCTATTGAAGATGAGTAATGAAAAAACAACTGAAACGTATTGATGCTTTAAAATAGGTTCTCATAATTTATTGCAAAGGCAGATATGCTATGAAAAGGGCAGGCAAGGACATGACATTGAAAAAGTAAATCATTATCTCGTGTTATTCGTTCAAGCAATCGATTTTCAAATATTCAGGCTGGTTTGAGTAAGATTAGCCTAAACCATCTTTCGACATATTTCTTCGACTTAATTCACCAAATTTATACCGATTTTAGTATAGTTAATTTTTAACACTCTTTAGCACATTGTCGAAAGCTTATTGCAAATATATCCAGCTTCATAAAAATAAAGTATACCTAAACTCACATTGCTGTTTCAGCTTGGAGTTTTCAAATTTTTATTTTCTCTTATTTTCATTCAAACGAATAGCAAATATTGTCTTATTACACGCACTATCTATATCACTTTCTTTCTTAAGTTTGTTAAAACATAACTATTAAAAAGCAACGAACAGTACGAGAATTCCAAAAAATTATATGAAATGTGAGTTTTCGTTTATTGTAAAATAATTTTCCTATAATTTTCCATTAACATATCAAGTTTTTCTGGTATTTTAATTAAATACTTCAAAAAAAAAAAAAAAAAAACTTTTATATAAATTAATTAAAAACAGATATTTATTTATTTTGAGCAGTGACAACTCTTTAGCACCTATTGTTAAATAATCTATAATAAAAATGTTAATATTTACTTGGATTTAATTGATTTTTCTTATGTTTATTTTTTAATTTATTTTCCAGGAAATGCGAAAATATTTGGAAAACAATTCAAATGTTGAATTAATAGACAATCCTACTTTTGATACTTATTTATCTGCATATAATTTGCATCATAATAAAGAAAATAAGCCGGAAACATCACAAAGTTTATCTATGCAAAAGCGGTCAAAACGACGTGCATTGCCATTTCCTTATGATTTTATAAAATTTGAATTGTCAGATGCCAGAGAACCTGATGCAATTACAAAAGAATTTTTAAAAAAATATCGTGAAAATGAGCGTAAAAGTAAAGAAACAGCTCGAGTCAATGACCGTGGACGAGCAGGAAAAAAATTTGAAGACACCTTAAAATTAGAAAATTTTACTCAATTTGAATTGGATGAAATTATTTCGACGACAACGCAACAAACTCTTCTGCAAAGTAATAAAACTTTAACAACTCCGAAAACTAATAAAATACGAAGAATAGCAAGACGTATTGCACGTAAAAAAATAAATCAAACTGCATCGATTAAAAGAATTGACACTAATATAGAAGAAACCTCAAATCAATCTAAAGACGATGATTTAGAAATCCATGAAACTCAAAATGTTCATTATTATGCAGCTGCACCAACTGGAGAAGGTATGACTAAACACAAAATATCGAATATATTTCCACATGAAGTTCATAAAGCTATCGATTTCGTATTAGCCGAAAATAAACAAGCTCAATCCACATCACATGTTAATAGTGGTAAAGGGGCACATTTAAAATTTATTCAAATTCCAATTTACCATAAACAACCATACTATGGTGATAAAATAGCATTATATCAAGCAACTAAAGTAAGCAATAAACATCATCCAAGCGATTATGATGAAGCTTATAATAAATATTTACATTCGTATTCATTACCTTTAACAGCAACTAATGTAGAATTTAAACAATCACCGCAACAACATCAACAACAACTCCAAGGCATTTCTGAAGAAAAAAAGAATCCTCATTATAGTTTACAAAGTCATCAACATCCACATTATAGCACTTACAATCAATATCATCAACAGCATCCAAAATATTACACAATACAAACACCAACAGCTAATTCTTTACTTTCACAGCAACACGAAAATTCTTTGCATGAAACTAAACAATATGCACCTCCTTCTAATATTCCTGTAGCAACTTCACATCAAAATCAAATGCTTGATGCAAGTATGAGTAATGTTAATTCAGGTCAAACTAAAATAATGGAAAATAATTTAAGTCAAAATCATGAAACAGGTGCTTTAACTGCATTACCAGAAATTAATCAAGTTCATACAATAATTCAACCACAGGCTGTTGCGGTAAAAGTTATACCAGAAATTAATTATGTTTTTCATCAAGATATTGCAGCCACTCCAGTCACTTTAAAACTTACACAATCAAATGCACCAATATCAACTTATACAGCCCCATCTGCACCAATGAAAATATTAAATGACGATAGTAATGATAAATCAGTTCAAACTATTGATATGGAAAAATCAGTTATGCCACAATATACATACAAAAATTATGATCCCCATGTATATGCACCAATAAGTTTACAAAATGAGATGTTGGCTAAAGCAGTATTAATAAATCATGGATATAAATTTGATGATTTAACAAACACAGCTGGTAGTACAGATGGTAACGCAGGTAATATTCCAGGAAAAAATAATATCGAAGCCAGTAGTCCTGATGTAGACGATTTAAATGAAAAATATTCCATTAAACAATCACCATCTCCATCACCATCACAGTTATATATCCCTTCAACAACACCAATCAATTATCATAGTTATTTACATAGTACTACAGAAATAGCACCATTAGAACAAAAACTACATAAGCAACATAATGGGCAAACAAAACAATATCACAAACAATTATTAAGTATTACCACACCAAGCAATTATATTGAAAATTCAACACCGCATTCACATACCAATACCAATAATAATAATAATAATAATAATAAAAATAATGATAAAGAATCACATTTTGAGACTAGCAGTCAACATTATAATGAATTATCATCATTAATTGGTAAATCTCCAACAGATCAAATACATGGTTTAAATTATTTAATTGAAAAAGAATTACAAAATAATCAATTTAAACCTAAAGATAAAGTACGACCGCAAGACAATCGCGCCCCAATACTATTTCATCCAGATTCAAAAAATGGTGGTGATAATTTTAGAGGGAAAAGTGTCTATATTAATGAATATGGTTATAAGCAAATAAAAAATGAGAATTCCGCTTCATCAGGTACAATGATTACATCAACAGAGAAACCTATTAAAGAAGAAGAACAACAGCAGCATGATATTAATAGTGTTGTTCATATAACACCACCACCACAATCACCGGCAACCTCATATAAACATATCTATAATTTATCACCAAATTATAAAATTGGTACAAAGTTATATGGTTTAAATGCTTTTAAGGATACAAGTGGCCATGGGGTGAGTTTAATTTTTATTTATACATTTATAATTTTTTATTTTAGAATTCGCTGGTAGCTACTGTAATTCGTTCTATTACATCATGTCCTTTAAATTCAAATTTCAAAGTTAGTTTTTACTCTTACAGTCTTACATGAAAATGATCTCCACATAATTCAGTAATGCCGGTACTATTTTTCGGACACATTAATCCCGAATTCTGAGATCCTGAAAACCATAAATGGTTTTCAGTGAAAAATATTACAGAAAAGCATTTACCAGACCATAGATTATTCAATAATAATAAAGCGTGAATCGATTTTACTAAAATCCTTGTTCTTTTATCCACACCATACAATTGTTTTTACGCTTCGTTCCATTTTCTATTTTTTTTTTAACAATTTAATAAAAGAAAAGAACATTTTGCTTTTTATTTCTTAAGAAGTTTGTCCTTTTGTTTTTTCTTCTCTTTCATCTTGTTTTATTAATTTTATTTTATCTATTCCTTTTTATTTCCATGTCTTTTGTTTTACTCCTTTTGACAGTTACCCGACAATATCGGTATTTATTAGGAATTACGCTTTGAATTTCCATGTAAATATTATAATATTAGAAATGCTGGCTTTTTTTTTGTTATCATAACCATTATTATGACCATGATGGTAATGGTAATATGATAATAATGGCAATATATTTTAAATGAACTCAATCCACAAAAGACTTTTCCACTTTTTACAGAGACAAGACGGTTATTATAAAATTTATTATATTTGATCTAAGGGGAGTAAACTTTATCAGAATTTCACAAAAACTTTACCTCAAAAGACCTCAAATAGGGATTACGTAACACTTGCGTCCGAAGAGTGACCGCGCTGATATTCTTAAAAACGCGCTAATTCTCATAGATCAAAACTTCAATAAAATATTCTGCAACCATAGTAGTACTTACAAAATATTTTATTGAATATTGCTACTAAATGGCTTACCTCTTGGCGCTTCAAATGGTCGAAACTTCAGTTCTTTCTTATTAAGTTTGAATCTATTTTCTTATTTGAAAAGCAGTTTAAAGCGAGACATCAAATCTATTTTATCATCGATAATTTATGGCTTTGTTTGAGTGCAAAATGAACTTTCAGTCACTATTTTCGTGGTAAGGGAAAAATTTATATTCAAAAATAAACCTTTTAAAAGCTACAAAGTCTATATTAGTTAGAAAGTAAAAAAAAAAGCAAGACAACAGAGGGGTGAAAAAGGATAAAGTAATTTTGTAAATGAAATAAAATTGTAAATTTTCTTAACTTGCCTCCAATTTTTTTTTTTTTGTAATTTTGCTTGCTTTTTTCCTTTCGTATAATCAAAAAAAAATAATTGTTTTTTATTTTAATTTGAAGTTTAAAAAGAACCAAACCGATTAACATAAAAGCAATTTTATATTTAAAAATACATCCTTTTTAACAAGAAAATAACAAAAAAAAAAAAGAAGAAGTAATGGAATTCAAGAAAATTCAGGACTTAATGAAACATCCCTTATTTCATTTTATAAAAAAAAATAAAACTGATGAATTCAAATAAATGAAAGTTAAATTTTTCTTTTGTTTTTTTATTTCTATTTGGTTTCTGTTCTAAATGATTTTATTGAATGAAAGCAAGTTTTATGAATTAATTTAACGTTTAGAATACCAAATTTACTTTCAATGTGATCCAAGACAAATTGGCAAATTTTTATTTAAAAGCAAATAAAAGCAATATTAATTTTGTTCCCTGCCATTAATCGGTTTATAGCGAAATTAAGAAACGGTAAAATTTCAATAAACGTAATACTCCAAAATTTTGACGTTGATTTCAGTTAAGCAACTACAAATTCACTTTTCAAAACATGTGAAAATTACCCAATTTTTTACCTACTTTCATTTTCTAAATTACTTCCATGACGCGCTTTGTTCTTTCACAGCAAGTCTTCTTGAAAGTAATATTTTTACATACTCCGAAAATTTAAAGAATTTCTTAAGTATCCTGAAAATATTTTTTTAAGCGTATTTTGTAATAGTAAAAATAATTAAAAAGGTAGAAGGAAAACAAAAAGAAATTATAACAATAGTAAAATAAAGTCTGGTAAACAAGTTTTTAAAATGTTTGCACAACAACCACAGTTTAATTTTTAATAGATTTTGTTGTTTCCTGGATATTTGTACATCTTTACAATTATCGTTACGTTACATTGAAAATTTATCAGTTTTTAGCATTTTTTCAAAAAAAAAATTTCGAAAGAAAGGGGCTATTATTTTCACTGTGCTGGGACGTCAGTCCGTTCGACCTTACGTCCGGGGACATGTTTGCAAAACTTCTACACTGTTGAAGATAAAAATCTAAAATTTATATAAATACAGACATTCACTAGAAAACTTATTTTTGTAGAAAATTTTTAAATATCTGCCCCCCCCCCCCTCCAAATGACACTTTTTAACTATTTGTTGTAGCGAAACTAAAAGCATTTTTCAAATTTTGTATAAATGCAGAAAAGTAGTGACTGATTTCTTCTGCCACGAATTCAATTTAAAAAAAAAAATCAAAATGGGTGTTAAAATTTACCGTTATCTAAAATCTATTTTTTCCTAATTTTTGATATCGTTTATGCTCTAGACCTCAGATTGGAGGAGTCTGAAATTTAAGCTGCTTTTAGACACAGTTATAAATAGTTAATTTCTCAAGTTAGTAAATTCCATGCTATTAATAAATATAATTAATATTCTTAACTCAAGCAATTAACCCTTAAATTCAAGCATTAAGTTAAAAGCTCTTTCAATTGCTTTTCGTTTTATTCCAATTATTTCAATCACATTGTTTTTGAAAACACTGTTTTCACTTGCTGAAGGGAAAAATGCTACATTACAAACTATTGGTTTCAGCCAACTTTATTTTTTATTAATATAGACAAAATAGAATAAAACTTTAAGGATTTTAATAAAAAATATTGAAAAAACTGCAATTATAATACTGTAAAACTAGTCTATTGTAAACACCTCAAAATTTCATGTGATTTAAGATAAAAGAAACTATTGCTTAATAACTTCTTATTTACTGAAAATATTCATGAAAGAAAGACAGTTACAGTTATTGTTATTATAATATTAACATTGTAATTTTTAATTACATTACAGCTGTAATGTACAATGCATTGAACATTTAACAAAAAAAGTTTATTTAAGGTATGCTCCTTTGGAATGCATAATATGAATTTTTTAATAGATTAACAGACTATAAGTATTTATATCCCCTTAAGACAACAACTATTTCAGAACTGTAGTCAATAAATCGGTAATGAACTTAGTAACTAAAATACAGAAAAAACTAGAATTTTTAATGTCCTTTTGTTAATTAATTGTAATATTTAAATCAAAATTTCTACAATTTTTACCACTTTAAATTTACCATACAAATTTTGTCAACAATTAATATGTCTCCATATCACACCAAAAAAAAAAACCAAAATATCAATTAAATATTAAAATTTCAGATTTGACATTATGAACCTAACATCGTCGTAACAATCAATTAGGCTTATTAAAAGCGATTTACTTTTTAGTTTTCTAATTGTCATCCAATTTTTATGTAACTTCTTTGCTTTTCCTTTTCTATTTTATTTTTAAATAGAACATTTTTCTTCTTCTTTCTCTTGTCATTGTCTTGTAGTTCATGTTTTTGTTTTTTTTGTATTAACTTTTGTTACATACAAGAATTATAGCTGATAAGTCAAGTTAGATCCGAAAATAAAAAAAAACGAAACTGAAAATAAATTTAATTTTAAAGAGAAAATTTTTCGTTCATATCCATTTAGAACAAGTTCTAAATAAAATTACAACTAACAAAAAAATTTAAAAATAAAATAGGGAAAAAAATAGAGAAAATTTCATTTCCACAAAATAAAGGAAATCTGTCAACAAATTGGATTTTTTCTAGAGAAAACTAAAAAAAAAAAAATTACTTTTTTTTTTATCCTTCATCCTGAATTCATCTTCAAATATAAACACAGAGACATGGGTCTACATTGGGGTCTACATTGAAACAAATACGAAAAAAAGTAATATTGAAAAATTTTTTTTTTTTGTTACGGTTTTCTTACTGTTATCGATATTATATATGGTGTAAGTTGAAAATTGTACCTTAACTTTTCAGATGTGACATTTGGAACGATTCCAAGGACATAAGCCTGAAGTTCTTTTCATTTTCCTATTCTTTTGTTTTTATTTTACATTTTTGCCTTATTACTATCAACCCTATATGTGTGTGTAAATAAGAATAGCAGCTATTATTGTCTGCAGATAAAAACAATTTTAAAATAAAATTTAGAATTACAAGAGATTAAAAAAAAAAAATAAACGAATTCTTTTGTTTTTATTTCAAATTTTTTGTGTTTTTTTTTTTTTGTTTTATGCGGTAAAACTGTAACAGAAAGAAAAATAAAGAAAAACTTCCATTAAGACAATAAAATAAATTCCAACCTTGTCGGACAAAAATAAAAAAGAAAACGTAAAGAAAATTTTATTACTAAAATTAAAATGAGAAAAATGTTACTAGTAATTTTATTTTTTTTTCCATTCTTGTTTGTTTTTTAATTCAAAAGGAAAAAGAAACAAAACCAAATACAGTTTAAAAGAATTTAAAAAAGAAACTAAAATGCATTTAATAAAAAATAAAAAATTGCATAATTCTCGGCGTTCAAACATAACAATTAAATCATTTTTTTTAATAGGCACTAACATAAAATCCAACTGCAATTGTGTTTTCTTTTGATCACCTTGGACATTCTGTTACTGATTTCGAATACTGATATTGGAAACTGGTAACTTGGATCGCATAGAAAATTTAATTTTTGTTAAACAATAATAATTATGTTTATTTCTATCAAATTAACATTAAATTAATATTATTTTTGAATATTTTCTGCTACAAGAGACACTGATTTTTATGCATATCTGAAATTGAAAACTAATTTATCCTGAGAAATTTAACTGAGATTTTAC